GTGTCCCCAATGTCCCCAATGTCCCCAATGTCCCCAATGTCCCCCGTGTCCCCAGCTGAAGCTGCCCCAGATCCAGCGCATCCTGCTGGAGTTCCAGAAGCAGTCGGAGCTCATGGACATGAAGGAGGAGCTGATGAATGACGCCATCGATGACGCCCTCGGGGACGAGGACGACGAGGACGAGAGGTGGGGACACCTGGGGACACCTGGGGACACCTGGGGACACCTGGGGGACACCTGGGGGACACTGAGGGACACCTGGGGGACACCGGGGGGACACCGGGGGACACCTGGGGGACACACCTGGGACACCTGGGGGACACTTGGGGACACCTGGGGACACCTGGGGACACCTGGGGACGCCTGAGGGACACCTGGGGACACACCTGGGACACCTGGGGGACACCTGGGAACACCGGGGGACACCTGGGGACACACTTGGGGGACACTGGGGGACACCTGGGGACGCCCGAGGACACCTGAGGGACACTGGGGCACACATGAGGGACACATGAGGGACACCTGGGGACACCTGAGGGACACCTGGGGGACACCTGGGGGACACTGAGGAACACCTGGGGGACACTGAGGGACACCTGAGGGACACCTGGGGGACACTGAGGGACACCTGGGGGACACTGAGGGACACCTGAGGGACACCTGGGGGACACTGAGGGACACCTGGGGATGCCTTGGGGACACTGAGAGACACCTGGGGACGCCTGAGGACACCTGAGGGACACCTGGGGACAGCTGGGGGACACCTGGGGGACACTGGGGCACACATGAGGGACACCTGGAGACAGCCAGGGGTACTCAGGAGACACTTGGGGACACTTGGGGACACTTGGAGACTGCCAGGGGACACCTGGGGACACCCAGGGACAGCTGGGGACACGCAGGGAATACCTGGGGACAGCCAGGGGTGCTTGGGAGACACCTGGGGACATGAAGGGGACACCTGGGGACACGCAGGGACACCCAGGGGACACCTGGGGACACGGAGGGGACAGGATGGAGCAGGTCCCAGTGTGTCCCAGTTTATCCCAGTTTATCCCAGTCCCCTCCCAGTGATGCTGTGGTGTCCCAGTCTGTCCCAGTATCATCCCAGTATCCCCCAGTCCATCCCAGTCTATATCCCCAGTGATGCTGTGGTGTCACAGTGTGTTCCAGTCAGTCCCAGTTTGTCCCAGTATATCCCAGTTCATCCCAGTTTGTCCCTGTCCCCAGTGATGCCTTGGTGTCCCAGTTTATCCCAGTCCCCCCCAGTCCCCCCCAGTTCATCCCAGTCCCCCCCCAGTGGCTCCCAGTGGCTCCCAGTGTCTCCCAGTCCATCCCAGTTTCCGTGTCCCAGTGACGCCGTGGTGTCCCAGTTTATCCCAGTCCTTCCCAGTCCCTCCCAATTCCACCCCAGTCCCCCCCAGTCCATCCCAGTTTATCCCAGTCCCCCCCAGTCTCTCCCAGTGGCTCCCAGTCCATCCCAGTTTATCCCAGTCCCTCCCAGTTTATCCCAGTTTATCCCAGTGGCTCCCAGTTTATCCCAGTGTTTCCCAGTGTCTCCCAGTCTATCCCAGTTTATCCCAGTGGCTCCCAGTGGCTCCCAGTCCCCCCCAGTGGCTCCCAGTGGCTCCCAGTTTATCCCAGTCTCTCCCAGTTTATCCCAGTGGCTCCCAGTCTATCCCAGTTTATCCCAGTGGCTCCCAGTGTCTCCCAGTGTCTCCCAGTGTCTCCCAGTTCCCCCTAGTTCACCCAGTTTCCGTGTCCCAGTGACGCCGTGGTGTCCCAGTTTATCCCAGTCCATCCCAGTCGCTCCCAGTCCCCCCCAGTGGCTCCCAGTTTATCCCAGTG